TCGAAAGCGTTTACCTGTTCTGGTATTTTATATACTGCCACAATAAGCCTGTGCGTGTAGACTAACTTTCGTTTTTATCGTTTCGCATTCACGCGCTGATTGGAATGGGATCATGCAGTTTCTGCATTTCCAAACTTACTCAAGTCTCAGATCGATCTTTTCCGAACGGCACGTACCCCTAGTCTTGAAACACCTTAAACACGCTACCCACGACACTCAATTAAGAGCGCAGCTAACTGCATTTTAAAGTCCTCCGTCAACTTATCAATACAGCGTCTTCTTTGCATCTCCACAGCAATTAGTTTTCACAGAATAATCGCGATGTATTCCTCACTGAACGAATAATAACCCTGTTTGGCCTGCTGTGTGGGCCTGTTCATTGCAAATTATTTGGATTTCTGAAACAAAAGTTCTGAAACAAGACGGAATATTGTCAATATTTCTAGCTAGACGTGTTACGTATAAAGAGGGCTGGTATGGCATGCCAATTGGAACCCGGAAGGTCAAATAATTAACCAAATGTAAAACGTTCATGCCTGCATTTTTAACGGTGTCTTTGCCTACCACTGTCAAATAGTACCAATTTCAACTTTGAGCAGCTGGTTAGCACGTTATTTGTATTTATTCCTTATCATTCATCTGAATCTCTGGAAGGTTTGAATAGGAAACACTTACCTGAATCCCCGCACCGCTGCATTATATGCTCTTGCGGTTAAACTCAGTGTTCCTCCCAGTTGAGAATTAGACTTGTTAAGCCTTTAATTATTGCCGCTTAAAAACAAGGAACTTGTGCATGTACCTTATTTTTCAATTTAATTCCACAGTAAATCAATCATTTTATCAAGTTATTTGTGAGGATTGTTTGTTATCACTTGGGTTATTTTCAACTTTCGTGGAATTCGAACTTTGTGAAGTACTGTGTTAGACCCTCGCGAGCTTCAAATTCCTTTCAGATTCATATTTATTACCGTACTGATAAAAAAGTAGAAATGTTTGAACAGCATTTATGGCATCTCAGGTTGTGACACATTCACAAAGCAGTTTTTTGGTAAAAAAGATTGAC